ACGTCTATGATAAAATCAAACAAGAATGGAGACAGTGGACAGCCCTGAAGGACACCAATTGAAGTAAACAATTCCGGTGACAGTTCGCCATAAGCTGTCACTCGACCAGTGGAGTTCGAGTACAGAGCTTGTATAAGGTTAATGTACTTCTTTGATACACCTTTCAATGACAGACACTGCCACAGAACCTCACGATCCACTGAGTCAAATGCCGCCTTGAGGTCCAGGAAAACTACTATTGTAGGACGCCTAAATGTGTCTGTGTTCCAGGACCTGTCTGAGTGTGAAGATGTGGTCTATACAACCACGTCCAGGTCGAAAACCAGACTGGTTTTCTCGAGTCTGCTCTTCACGAGCTTTCATTAAGCGTCGAAATACTATTGAGGACAATATTTTAGGTACTATATTAGTTAGACTTATTCCTCTGTGATTGTCACAATAAGACTGCTGTCCTTTCTTATAAATTGGGACAATCAGTGATTGAGACCAGCTGGATGGGATTACGTCCAGTTCCCAGATTCTACCTAAGATCTCGGTCAACATGGCTGCTAAAACTAAACCACCATCCTTGAATATCTCAGGGGTCAGTCTATCAGGACCTGCAGCTCGCCCTCGCTTCAGGTTTCCTAACGCCTTCTCAACTTCATAAAGAGTAGGGGGACTTACGTCGATTTGCCATTCAGGATGACTGGAGATCGTGGGTAACCGAAGAGTGGCTCGAGGCCAGTTGAACTGATCCCTAAAGTGTTCTGCCCATCGATCCAGTCTCCTGGATTGAGAATGGATAATAGTCCCATCATTTTCCGAGATAGTCAGTCTCAATTACACTAGGATTACTAATACCAGTTTCCTTGATAAGTCGGAAAAGTTGTCTACTGTTGCCTATCGCCGCTTCCTTACTAGCAGATATCACCGCTGTTTCCACAGCCTTTTCGATATCATTCCAACCTGCCTCCGGATCGGAATCGCTTAAATGGTCGCCTAACTGTCTTTCTAGTTCTTCCTGGAATATATTCTTCGCCCTATTATCATTAAGTAAAACCCTAAGGGGCTTTCTTACTGTCTTTCTTACACCTAGTAAGCCTCAAACAGATACGAGCTCGCACTAGGGCATGATCTGAATCTAAGCATGTGCCCCACAACGAGCGACAGTCTTCTATCGAACCCCTCGATCGGTGGCTGATGGCGATGTGATCTAGTTGAGTCCAACGTTGAGACGACTTCGGCGGTCGCCAGGTCAAGAGATGCTTTTCCTTATGTCTAAATTTAGTGTTTGCTAAGAATAGGCGTTTATCTGAGCATAGTTGCAACAGACGGTCACCATTGTCTGTTCTCTGAGCCGCTACACCATAACATCCACCTACGTGTCTTTCATTTTCACTTAGTCTACCTACCTGAGCATTAAAGTCACCAGTCATTATAACTACATCAGAGCGCCTAACTTTTTGGAGGTCAGAAAGCTTTCTGTAAAACTCATCTTTTACGTCGTCAGGACGGTAGTCAGTGGGGGCATAGGCGGATATGTCGAAGAGGAAACGGCGAGTGTCCCTATCATTCCGAGTCCTTACTGTCCCGTTTAGTCGGACAGCGCACAAGCGACTATCTACTGGGATCCAGTCTAGGAGAGCTAGTTCTGCCCTAGGACTCAATGCTATACCTACACCAGCGAGACCCCTGGGAGCAGCATCAGGGCTTCCAGATACACGAAGAGTAAATCGAGCTGCTTCTTTGTTTTGACAAGGTGAAATCAGGTTAATAATTTTACTAGGATCCTGTATGCGCGTTTCCGAGACACAGCATACATCGTCCTAGCTAAGGAAGCTTGTTGCCCTATTTGACACAATGCCCGTACATTAAAATCTCCAATGTGTAGTCTGGAAGGAGGTTGCAAGTCAGTTAGTTTCAAGTTAGTGTTTGCTAAGAAAAGGCGGTTATCTGAGCATACTTGCAACAGACGGTCACGATTGTCTGTTCTCTGAGCCGCGACACCATAACATCCACCTACGTGTCTTTCATTTTCACTCAGTCTACCTACTTGAGCATTAAAGTCACTCGCCATTATAACTACATCAGAGCGCCTAACTTTTTGGAGGAGGTCCGAAAGCTTTCTTTTACATTGTCAGGACGGCAGTCTGGGGGCGTAGGCTGTACATTGATGTTTGTCCGAGGGAAACGCCTTTCTGCTGTCACACCTCTCGGCAGTCAGTAGTACGACTACGCCTTCAGAACTTAGGTAGCTGCTTTTAGTCTCATCGTTCTCTAATCGACATGTCTGACATGGTAGAACCTTCAGGAACATATGTCCCAGCCAATTTAGCTCGTTTGGGTCATCAAGATAGGAAAGCCCGACCACTACGTCAAGGTAGCAGCTAAGGTCGTGGAATGAAATGGCTCAAAAGCGTTTACAATGGCGCATGTGCATACATTCTTTGTGTTCCCTCAGATCCTAAACTTCTGAATCCCTCGTCACTCTATCTTTTTGTTTTTAAGTTTATTTCACTAGATTTTACTTCTCGAATACTTTCTTCGAACCCTAATCTCTCTGATTACTGCTTATACTCTTACCACCTCTACTACTATGGGATTTGAATTGATAATTACATCTCTGTATTGATGTGGTATGGTAACTTGAACTGATGTACGTACGTACGAAGTTCTACGTTGCTGTTGATTGATTAGCTTAATCGGTCATAATTTTTTTTAGTAGGACAGAAAAGCAAATAATCTGCGCAATGAATACCCTTTTAATGGTAATAAACCCTAATAATTATGCTATAACTTGTTTATATTCCATTTCGTACCTGGTTACACCAAAAACTAGTGTTTTTATTATGGTTTATACGTATATATCAGGGGTAAAAATGTCAGTCATCTAGTTACAACGTAGAAGTTTGTACGCACATACATATGATCAGGTTGTCATACCACATTAGCACAGAGATGCAGTTGTTAGAGTTGGGGTAAAAAAATGTATACAACCAAATATGTAATTCATATCCCAATGGTGCTATCTTTTTAATGTGGTTATGAATGACCCGAGGAAAGTCATTGGGTCTTAACCAAATCAACCGACAGAGCATTTAATGAATGTCAAGCAGTCTGTTGAACCTCGTAAAGAACAACCAGCGCGCATCAGTCGATTGCATGAACAGGCATTTGTGGCAGTGGTTACGCCTTGCACTTCTGTAAACTGTTAATACTAATATATGCCGTTGCCTATTGAAAGTATTTACTCTATCCACCTGGTTATCACGATAATCATAATCCTAGTTAAGCATTAACTACAAGGTGACTTTGACGTATGCTAGGAGGCCAGATCATGTACGTCAAACTAGAGTAGACACGCAGCCATCGACACAGATCACCTTTGTTTGTGATCTACAAGTATACCCTCAAAATTTAGTGATAAAGAAAATAACCATCATCGTTTCAATCTTGGTCAGAATTCTTGATGAATGAGATTTTGCCACTTGATAGAAATAACACGATGCTTAAAGAAAATTTTGTAATCAAACAATTAGAATAAATTTGAGCACACATTCGAAAAATGCAAGTCATTCAATTCCTATCCATAAAGTATAGCTTTGATGTATAATTAATAATTACGGTATTGCCCCGAGAATCCGTTGTTTTTTATTCAACTCAGCAGTTCTGAGATGTCATATAATAGTGGGTATTTGTCTGCTCTCTCTTTTAGTACCCTCAAATATATATAGCAATGATGTAGGTCTCCATTAAAGTGGGAAGTAATAAGAACTAATACTAAGGTATAATCATTGGTCAGGATACGTTTCCCCGAAAATGAAAGCAATATTGCTTTAAAGATAAATGTACCAGTGTCTTTGGAGCAAGAAAACCAGTTTGGCTTACATACTTTTATAGAATACAGAAGTAAAATGCACTTACTAAGTATCACATGTTAGGATACTGGGTAACAGTTCTTACTGGCTGAAATAAAACCGATATCTTCTCCCGTATATGGGATTCCATATTGACTGACTAACATTTCCCGACAGTTAATCACTGTCGATTTAGGATCTAGCACGAATATTTATCGGTCAGAGTCGCCATAGTACCAGCATAGTTGGGTAAAAAGCCAACAAGACGTGTAGTCGACAAAAAACAGTAACAGGTGCCGTGATCATCCGAAGAAAACATCTTGATGCTGTCACACCCCTCTGCAGTCAGCAGTACTTCGCCCTCAGACCTGCTGCTTACAGTCTTACCATTCTCCAGTCGACCTGCCTGGCATGGTAGAACCTATAGGAATATATGTTCCGGCCAACATAGCTTGGTCGGATCACCACGATACGCATGCACGACCACCACGTCAAGGTAGCAGCTACGCTAGGGAGTACAGAAGCAGGTATGAAGATTAGAGGTAGCCAGTAAAGACATGGCATCACTCCAAACTGGGTTGTATAGGGAATGGTATATCTCCTCATTTGGGTGTAGGTGGAAATCAGTTGCAATGCTCATCCTTCTGATTCTAGGGTTCATTGTTATTAAGTCCTTATTCATTAAATTTATTCATCTTTTTTGGATAGCATTCCTCCAGTTTAGTTTTCCACTGCTAGTTCATTCTGACTACTGTACTTTGTTAATTTCCTTAAGCAATGTAGTGTAATAACTTAAGGACATACTAATCGATGGCTTAAGTTGTTTGTGACTAACATTTAAGCACGAAAATCCAGGAATAAGGTTAAATGTTTGGGAGTATTTCATCGATCATGTTGGCAAAACGAAATATCATGGCAATAAGAAATTCGTTACATAATAAGAAAAACTTGTGGAATGAAACAAATATATCATAAAATGGAATTGTATTAAAATAGTTGATGAATAATAAGATTTAGTGATGTTTACAAAATGAAACTTTGTACAGAATTGAAAAGTAATAAAATCTGTTATGTACAAGATTACAGATAATAATCCACTAGTAATGGAAGTTTGATCGGTACTTTATTTAAATGCCATCAATAGTTAACAAGAAACTTACTTTAATCATCAACAGTTAGATCAATTGAAATATCAGATAATACAGGAACAGACTGCCCTAATATAGAGGCTGTGACTGGACCAGGAGCTATTGGACGCAAGGATTTCTCTTTTAACCAAGGAGCAAGAGATTCAATGTTATTCACTGAGTGAGTTATTTGTATATCTTTTGAAGTTTTCTCACTGCTAGTTATAAGAGTAATTTGAGAAGTATCTGACATATCAGAGGATGTTTGTGTTGTGAATATTGAGTGGTTAACTTTTTTCAACCTTCTTTTAAGTTTTCCAACTCGTCGTCTATCAAGGGACGTTATATAATTTTCTGGTTCGTCTGGTACTTTGTAAGTCCTTTCATTATTACACTGAGACACAATATCTTCAGTAGGAGAATTATTAATAGCATTGTCTGGTAAATAAATACATACTTTTTTGATCGATTTTTCTTTCGGCTGGTTTTTACACATATCAGAAGATGCCACTGGGTTACTGAACACATTATTGGCGTTTTCATTTGCAGGATATAAGTATCCATTTGATTCAGTGAAGTCATCTCCAAAAGTGGAATTTTTTTTCTCATGATCACAAATAGTTTCAGAACTCATAGAAACGGTCTCACGTAAGTTTGAGGAAGTAGTTAAATCAAGCTGCAAACCTGAAATGGGGGCCTTTTCATTTAACGAACTATCCGAACTGTGATGAATAACTTGAGAAGGCTGAGATACACTAAACTTTGAGTTTAACATTTCAATATCATTGAGGGAAGCAATAAAAGTGCTATTTCCAGTGATTATATCTTTATCAGAAATGGATGGAGACGTACACTGGGGTATCTTAACATGCTCATTACAAGTGTCTTGTAACGAAGTCGATAAATGTAATGAGTTTGAAATGTCTACATGTGCAACCTCTGGTAATGTGGTTAAATGATTTATTACAACTGAAGACTGATCTGAACATTCATTCTCGATTTTACTAGTATCACATACTATCGCGTTCTCTAAAGTTGGTGTAAGTGATGTTTGCACACTGTTCTGAACTAATGGATCATTATTTTGAGGGATTGTGATCTGATGATCTTGATCAACATTAGTTTTACTATGAACATTACAACGTCCACCATCAACAGAATGAGTATCATTTTCAGATTCATTATTGTTGATAACGAATGCAGGATGATTTTTGTAGGGTTTACACACATTTTGATCACATGATTTCACTACGTCTGCTTCTCTAGACGATTTTTCATCCATGTCTATTAAATCAACATCAAGCCTAATTTTACTGACATCAGTAATTAAAGGACTGTTTGTGTTAACAAAAGAGGTTATATTATGGTAACTAGTTTCTTTAGTGTCTGTGTTCAAGGAATTTGAGTTGTGTTTTAGAACCGGATGATAAGTTGAATTTCTAGTAGTGCTATCGGCTGGACGAAGATTATCAGGGGTGGGAATAGACACATCAGGAACACAGCTAGGTGATTGACAACTGACAAGGCGCGGTTCAGGTGATTTAACACTTGGATCTGAAGCAATATTGATTCGATCACTAGACAGCGTTTCACAAACAAAGTTATTGTTCGGGTACAAATTACATGCGTCAGATTTATGGATATTAATATTAACTGTGGTAGAGAGTTCTGTGTTAAGGTTAGAACTAGACACTCTAGCAGAAGTATCATGTGAAAATGTCAGCTTTGAATAGACAAACTCCTGTGAATCACTGGCGAGAGAAGAAACGTCTTGATTGGTGAGTACCTGCGAGCTTTTTTGGACTATATGTTGAGTGGGAATAAAACTCGGATGAACTGGTGGCCAAGATGATAGCGGAATTATAGTAGGTTCCTTTGGAAGAGAATGAGATGAATTATTTTTGGAACCATACGGAATACTTAGAATAGAGCATGGCAACTTTAAATTTTTGTGTAGTAACTGACAGTTACAGCATTTAGCAAGTGTCTTGAGAAGGTTCATCATTTCTTTAGCAATATACCTTAATTCTGTTTCATGCTGACGTCGAGTCCAAAACTCAATTACATCATATTGACTTTGCAGTGACGAAAAAAAGTATGTTAAGTCAATATCGGCACGTGAATTAACTTCAGTGGATAAGCCTTTGTAAGCTGGAATCCAAGAGTTCGTAATGGATGTATAGGTCTGTGATAGTTGACTCTTGAAATATAACACTTTGTCACTAACTGAATGAAGATGTCTAGTTACATCACTAGTGAGATAGTCCAGTAAACGAAAAGATGTTTCGATGAAGACTGAAAAGTTAAACTTTGGTATAGGAGCAGCCAAATGAACTAATTTTTCCATATATTTAAGCGAATCAATGACCCATTGCTTGGAATTTAGTAAAGCCAGTTTTTCTTCATCACAAGACATAATGTTGTGATTGTAAAACGGACCAAATAAGAATGTATTTCCAGTTAAAAGACGTAAACTACTGTATATTCGCTCCAACAGGTTTATCAGATTATGAATATGAGGATTAACCTCTTCATTAAATATGCGACCAATATTGTCTCCAGCAACAGCTTCTGATTCGAAAAGACGTGCGCGACCTCGAGCAATACGTAAATAAGACAGTTGCTCAGTTTCATTACAATGGGTTTTTGAAAGTTCATATCTTGCTTTCAAACAGGCACCAGCTGACATAAGCGATGCATAAGAATCACGTAATCTGCCCAAACAAACAGATACAGCTTGATGTAAATGTTTCATGATAATAAACAAATTAATGAATATCTTTTCATTCACTTGGACATTGAAATTATAATGCATATTTGGCTTGGAATCAGTGAAAACACGAATGCAAGTATTATGAAAAGAATTGATAAGCAATCCAAATGCTGCAATATGATAAACAGGTAAACCAACATTTGTTTTTAATATAGTTGTAAGTGATTTTGGAAGACAATTAAATAACTTTGTATACAATTCCATATCATGATAGCTACCATGTAGGTTATTAAGTGATAAATTATTCGTAGAATCGTTCTGATTCGTTTGTAACATTGGTAACAATGAAAACGCATTAGACATTTGTCTAGATTTAACAGAGAAGGTTTTTGAAAAGTTTAAAATACGTTTTTTTGCATCCGGTTTAAAAATTAAGTATGATAATGTATGCAGCAACATCTTTGGACAACAGTCGTACCAAGTTTCATGTGATAATAAACAATTATATGTAATAGATAATATTTCTTTTAAAATATTATCAGAATGCCAGTGTACAATAAATAGTGGAGTAGATTTTGAAACAGTACATGAATAATGTGGTAAAGAAATCGATCTTAACGGCGATAAACCAGTTGATGTACAAATATGGATATCACCTAAAGGTATTCTACGACAATAATGTCGACAATGTTTTAAAACATTTCTTAGAACTAATTGGTTTTTACAATGAACCAGTAATAAATACAAAATTCGTAAAACATCTCCAAGTAACAAATGAGTTTTTGTTTCACCCCTAAAAAAGAAATAAAATTTTAAAGTAAAAAAAAAGCTTCTTTTAGAAATTATTGAAATATCTACTTTTCAATAAAGAGATTTTGGATTAGTTTCCATGACTTTTTTAAACAAACGGTATACGGTATCAGTCAGTCAGTCAGTCAGATGCAACGTAGAACTTCGTACGTAAGTACATCGGTTCATGTTGCCATACCACATCAGCACAGAGATATAATTGTCAATTCAAATCCAATAGTACAAGAGGTAGAAAAGGTATTGAAAGTAATCGAAGAGGTTAGGATTAGAAGATATTATTCAAGAAGTATGATTCAGTGAGAAAAGTTTAGAAAGACAAAATTAGAGGTGTAGAAGAATCCAGAAGATTAGGATTTGACAGAACACAAAGAATAAATGCACCGGCGCCATTGCAAACGGTTTTCAGCCATGTCATTCAAGGTCTCTAACCATCGATTATTATCATCTCGCGGACCCCAACCAGGCAGTCGACAACTACCAACACGACTCAATCCACTTGTCAATGACTTCATGGATTTCTGCCATGTTTTGGTCTGGCCGCCCCTACCCTCCTTTCAACCTATTCGTACACCACAAAACAAAGCTCTTCGAGGCAGTCGGTGGTTAGGCATTCGTAACACATGTCCCAACCACCTCAACTGATGAAGTTTCAATACTTCATCGATTGATCTGCCATTCTTACCTAGCACCCGATTCCTAATAACAGCGGTGCTCACTCGGGTGTCCCACGGTATACGAGCAATGCTTCGAAGACACCGATGATCGAAAACCAGTAACCTACGAATATCTTCAACTCTCACTGGCCATGTTTCACAGCCATATAGGAGAACGGAGCGAACTGCTGCACAGTACACTCGTCCTTTGATTAGAGAATGGATATCACGCCTACGTCATAAGTGACGCAGGTTGGCAAAAGCCAATCGAGCCTTCTGTATCCGTGCTGAGATTTCGTCAGTCACCAGGCAATCAGCACTGATGAGACTCTCGAGATAAGTGAAGCGGTCTACACGCTCGACTACTTCACTCCCTATCACTAGTTCAGGTGCCGATGCAACAGTCTTGAAACAACATTTGGCATTTCGAGGGGGAAAACGGCATCCCGAACATGCTTGCATTGTTGCTTAGGGTAGTCAGAAGACTCTGCATTTTGTCAACGTCTTCACCAAGTAGGACTATGTCATCCGCATATTCTAAGTCAATAAGCGAGCCACCTGGTAGAAGGTCTACTCCTGGAAATTCAGACGACGATACGTTTATTTCTAGGAGCACGTCTATGATAAAATCAAACAAGAATGGAGACAGTGGACAGCCCTGAAGGACACTACTTGAAGTAAACAATCCCGGTGACAGTTCGCCATAAGCTGTCACTCGACCAGTGGAGTTCGAGTACAGAGCTTGTATAAGGTTAATGTACTTCTTTGATACACCTTTCAATGACAGACACTGCCACAGAACCTCACGATCCACTGAGTCAAATGCCGCCTTGAGGTCCAGGAAAACTACTATTGTAGGACGCCTAAATGTGTCTGTGTTCCAGGACCTGTCTGAGTGTGAAGATGTGGTCTATACAACCACGTCCAGGTCGAAAACCAGACTGGTTTTCTCGAGTCTGCTCTTAATGAGCTTTCATTAAGCGTCGAAATATTATTGAGGACAATATTTTAGATACTATATTAGTTAGACTTATTCCCCTGTGATTGTCACAAGAAGACTTCTGTCCTTTCTTATAAATTGGGACAATCAGTGATTGAGACCAGTTGGATGGGATTATGTCCAGTTCCCAGATTCTACCTAAGATCTATGTCTAAAGTTAGTGTTCGATAAGAATAGGCGGTTATCTGAGCATAGTTGCAACAGACAGTCACCATTGTCTGTTCTCTGAGCCGCTACACCATAACATCCACCTACGTGTCTTTCATTTTCACTTAGTCTACCTACCTGAGCATTAAAGTCACCAGTCATTATAACTACATCAGAGCGCCTAACTTTTTGGAGGTCAGAAAGCTTTCTGTAAAACTCATCTTTTACGTCGTCAGGACGGTAGTCAGTGGGGGCATAGGCAGATATGTCGAAGAGGAAACGGCGAGTGTCCCTATCGTTCCGAGTCCTTACTGTCCCGTTTAGTCGGACAGCGCACAAGAGACTAACTAATGGGATCCAGTCTCGGAGCGCCAGTTCTGCCCTAGGACTCAATGCTATACCTACACCAGCGAGACCCCGGGAAGGAGCATCGGGGCTACCGGTTACACGAAGAGTAAATCGGGCTGCTTCTTTGTTTTGACAAGGTGAAATCAGATTAATAATTTTACTAGGATCCTGTATTTGCGTCTCTGAGACGCAGCATACATCGATGGACCTATTTGATATTGTTGTACTGACTCCAAAACTTGCTGACTGAAAACAAATATAAGCCAACATTACATTTGCAAGGATGTTTTCTGACATGAAATGGATAAAAAGCTGGCTAAAAGAAATATACATACTGTTCCACTTTAACTCAATTATTGTTTTCATATAATTGCGATAAAGCTTACCAATAGGTTAATGATTATGCAGGAATTTCAGCTTAAAAAACATTTCTGGAGTCAGTATCGTTGACAGCTGACTGACACTGACAGATACAACGCAGAACTTCGTACGTAAGTACGTACCACATCAGCACAGAGACACAACTGTCAGTTCAAATCCAAGAGTCGTAGCGATAGTAGAAGTATTAGCAGTAATGGAGAAGATTAGGGAGCGAAGATATGATTCGAGAAGTATAATTCAATAAGATAAATTTAGAAGGAGAAAGGTAAAGATTATGAGGAATTCAGAAGATTAGGATTTGAAAGAACACAAAGAGTGGATACACCTGTGCGATTGCAAGCGATTCTGAGCCATGTCGCTCAAGGTCTCTAACCACCGGTGACTTTCGTCTCGCAGACCCCAACCAGGTAGCCTACATCTACCAACATGACTCAGACCACTTGTCAGTGACTTCGTGGATTTGTGCCATGTTTTGGTTTGGCCGTCCATAGCTTTCTTCCAACCTACTCCTACACTGCAAAACATAGCTCGTCGCGGCAGTCGGTGGTTAGCCATACGTAACACATGTCCCAACCACCTCAACTGGTGAAGTTTCATTACTTCATCTATTGATTTGCCATCCCTACGTAGAACTCGTTTCCTAACTGTAGCATTGCTTATACGGTTGTCCCATGATACACGAGCAATGCTTCGGAGACATCGATTATTACAACCCAAAGGTAGCAGCTTTGACTGGTTGATTTTAGTTATGATAACAACCAGATTGAGTTTTCCTGACTGGAACACTTGTTCCTTGATATCGTCACCATGTCGAGAAGGTTGGTTGGATAGTTTTAGTACCTTGAATGCGGATAACGTAAGAACCTCGGAATGCGATCGTACTACTAACTGTACTGAGATTTTTTCACCGATAAGCAGATCTGAGCTACTAACAAATAACTGAAGGGATTGGAGAGTATCAACCGTAAAAATCGTACACCACCTTAACAAATGGATTTCAAGCACCAGTAGTAAGGTTTAACAATTACATAGCTAACAAAACAGATTTTATTCACAAAGTTATGTGTAACCGACCGCAAACAACTATTTCCTGGGGTGCTTGGCCTAGCGTTAAGGTAGGCTGCAATTTTAAAGTGATGTGACCGGCCGGGAAGTGCCAATTATTAGCACAGCACTCAAAATAATTTTTTGTACCGCAAATACAACCAGATATTTAATGAACTCTTGCTGTACTGAGATGTACAGTTAGATACTAGATAGTTCCCGGTACCATATTTGAACTTACATATGGTCGAAACAGCATTACCACAAAAATGTGATATTGAAATAGCTCTTTCTGCGTTACCTTTTCATAGTCATTACATTCATTAATAGTTAGCGTCTCAGTTAGTAAACACTACATTATTCTTAAGTAATGATAACAAAATATATAAACACTGAGATTACGATTTGATCAGCAGCGTAAATGTTAACAGCAATTTCGAAATAACAGAACAAAATATCAACATCTTCATTATAATGACGATCACTGATATATGATACAGTAATGTTATTACTCTAGAAAACTATACTTTCATTTGAAGTAAACATGACAAGTGTGATATGTCACCAAAAGCAAACAAACAAAGAAAGTTCTAAAAATCAACTCAAACCAGAGATAAAGAACGAATAGTAAAATAGAAAAAAAGCTTACTTTTCATATTTTGATGTGTAAGTATAAACCCACTGTGGAGTCTGTGAGAATTTTGCTTCTGGATCTCTATCAAAATCAAGTGATGAGACTAATCGGAGTCCAACAGAATCTTCCATTGAGCGTAATTTCCATTTCTGGCAAGTCAGATTAGTATAGAGAAAAAGAGAAAACTTGTTGAACAAGATGACAAAAGTCTACACACTGTGATGAATAAAAGTTTCAAGAACACTTAGGCATTCTATCCACACAGTGTGGTTATAATACACAAAACGAGAAATATGTGATTTTCTTTTTACTTGAGGGAATTAATGTGCTGTCAACGATTGGTTTTTGCCAACTTGCGTCACCTATGGCGTAGGCGAGATATTCGCTCGCTTACCAAAAGACGAGTGTACGGTGCAACGGTTCGCTCCGTCCTACTGTACGGATGCGAAACATGGCCGTTAAGAGTAGAGGACTTCCGTAGGTTACTAGTCTTCGATCATTGATGGCTCCGAAGCATTGCTCGTGTATCATGGGACAACCGTATAAGCAATGCTACAGTTAGGAAACGAGTTCTACGTAGGGATGGCAAATCAATAGATGAAGTAATGAAACTTCACCAGTTGAGGTGGTTGGGACATGTGTTACGTATGGCTAACCACCGACTGCCGCGACGAGCTATGTTTTGCAGTGTAGGAGTAGGTTGGAAGAAAGCTATGGACGGCCAAACCAAAACATGGCACAAATCCACGAAGTCACTGACAAGTGGTCTGAGTCATGTTGGTAGATGTAGGCTACCTGGTTGGGGTCTGCGAGACGAAAGTCACCGGTGGTTAGAGACCTTGAGCGACATGGCTCAGAATCGCTTGCAATCGCACAGGTGTATCCACTCTTTGTGTTCTTTCAAATCCTAATCTTCTGAATTCCTCATAATCTTTACCTTTCTCCTTCTAAATTTATCTTATTGAATTATACTTCTCGAATCATATCTTCGCTCCCTAATCTTCTCCATTACTGCTAATACTTCTACTATCGCTACGACTCTTGGATTTGAACTGACAGTTGAGTCTCTGTGCTGATGTGGTACGTACTTACGTACGAAGTTCTGCGTTGTATCTGTCAGTGTCAGTCAGCTGTCAACGATACTGACTCCAGAAATGTTTTTCGAGAGAAAAAACAAAGAACTTACATACTTTCTGATGTAAAAGGTAATGTATGTTGAAAAAGAGATATGATGAAATTCTTTGGCACACAGCAATAAACCCAGGTTTTATCCATTGAGTATGGTTACTTAACTTAAGCAGGAAAATTGGGCTTTTGTGATACAGATTTGAGTTGTGATAATTCTTCTATAGATATATATTGTACCAACCACTCGTTAACCTTATCAAAGACAATATTACATTACATAACTATACAACAATTATTTAATAATCATGATTGAGATTACAAGCTTATTTATTTTGATATAAGTAGAGCTGTTTTTTATTGGATTACTGTATAGTTAACTTTCGATAAGCCATAAACATGAAGGATACGACAAATATAAAGGAACAGACTACTCACATAGTTAGGGGCAACTTGGGACCTGTATGGTGTAGACAATTTGGTTGTTTTGCGTGGATCCTTACAAAATTGATGAGATCGGCGATTAAGTTGATTGCTTTTAGGAACACGAAGACCCTTACAATATGATTCGGCTGTAAGAGAGAGGGAAATTATTGGTCAAGTTTTGGTTACTACGCGGAAATAGTAAAGTTTGATATGTAGTGTTTGTAGCTGGTAAACACTTCAAATACATGTTTACAATAACTACTGATTTCATTTTAATTATGCTTATATCATTCGTCTGAAGTGTAACAGGTACTGAATGTTTACCCCTTCACAATGCATTTATAATTGATTTGTACATAAAACCGAATATTATTTTTTATTCGAAAATATGTGATTGTTGAGTATTTAACTGAAATTAAAAGTCCTTCGTACATCGCAGTTTTGTTACTTGCTACTATATGGATATCTCAATTTATCATGAGATTCATCAATGAATAATATCAGCCTTCTATCGTAATTCATGGTTTTACAAAGATTGTTCTTAGTCAAAACTGATATGCTATTTTTTCTAATTGTTATTGTATAACTGGGTTTTCGACTAAATCAAGTGCCGTCACTCACAGTTACCGGACCGTTTAATTTTACCAAGAACGTACATAACATTAGAATACTAAGACGGAAATTACAAAGCAGAAGTGGTTTTAACTTCACTCATAATGATGCATCAGGCTGAGAGAGAGAGTGATGTCTGTTATGACTGTTTCTGAGCGAAAAGTTGGCAAGCGAAACATTGCATACATCTGTTAATCATTGGTTTAGGGAACACTAAATCATACGATACAGATCTCGCTATATTTATTGACTTTCTGAATGACTGATCATTGTAGGAGTTAAGGAGCAATTGATTTGCTACATTTAATATCTGCTGGAAAACTTTAAACTCATAGAAAGGAATGATTAATCAGGTTATATGTTATGTCCATGTCGCCTTTGATACATCCGCAATTTAACTTGCTTACACCCAAAAATGAGAACCATCTTAGCATCTATAACGCAAGTAAGAACACGATTGGAGATTTATTGAATCTTTAAAAACATTCCAAAATAAGTTGTCTGGAAAGGTCCATTTTGGATCAGAATACACTTATTTATATGTTGACATTCACACACCATAATGCTAAAAATCAAGAAAAACACAGTTAAAGTAGTTCATTTGAACTGATACTGAACGAGATTCCACATCTATTATCCTGAATGAAATTTATATTGAATTGATACAAAATAATTTCACCTGATTATTCTATCATACCGTTAAACTTCAGGAGTTAAGGATTACTTATTGGTTGTGAGGTGTGGACACTTATAGAAGAAATAAAACATTAGCACTTTAATAAAATATATAAAAGTATTCGTGATACACTGACAAAACCATCAAATTTTTTTAAAATATGTACATAAAACAAAAATATTTTAGGCCTATCGAAGCACAAGGAATAACAATGACTACAAAAAGAACTACAAAGTAGTTGCTCAAGATTAATCTGTCTGTTATCCCTCTTTAATTATAAAATACTGTGAATTTTTTGACTTTATTTGTTGTTTTTACTTGGACTTTTCGGCTTTTTTCTTTGAGTTTCTTACTTCTATTTTACTTTTATGCTTCGTACGTTTGACGAGTTTTCCCTCCTTATTGAAAAATGAAGTGTGATGTAAGTTAGAATGGAGGATAATCATGTCACGTAAAGCTAAAGAAACTATTCGAAGTGAATAGAGTGACATTTCAATCAGCAGCTCAGGATTTAAAAATGGTACTTTTGGAATCAAGTTGAAACCGTAATGCTAATCAGGTTTGTAGTAAAGCTTTTCAGTTTTTGTCAAATTATCCAATCCTTGGTATGTAATTGAAACTCTTTCATACACCAACATGCTATGTTTCCAAATTATGGACATACTTCTTAAGTGCAGACTATAGTATAGTCAGCTACATAGATGGTTTTATCATATGAATGATAAAATAGGCATGAAAATATTCATTACCTACATGGACCACATTTTTCCTCTTCATCCTAAAAATAAAAAACGACAAGATAAATAGTAATGTCTAGTAAATGCTGAACATTGTGGCTACAAAGTAATAGACGATTAAACTGCATACATTATATTCTTACATGGTAGATATTCAGGATTAAACTTAATATTATTCACCTTAATTAGACTCAGAAAAGCATCACAGAAACGGTTGGTAATCAGGGTCCAGTTGAATGGTGTTTTGAGTCCAGCACTTAGTACGGAATTGAGATACCCGAGGAATATATTCTGATTTCGCATTGTCTTAAAATAAACGCACATGAATTATCATTTTAAGAACAGACAGACAAATTTAAAGTGTTTAAATAGGATTTCCAAAACGTGCCTTTAAGCTTTACAAAAGATCAACATCGAAGCTTTTCAGACAGCTGTATTTGCCTGTTGATCGATAAGCATCACAATATTTGGTATTCTTGGGTTTAGAATAATCAAACTAGTTGTGAAGTTGAAAGATAACATACAGAAAACTATTTCCAGTGACTTAAGGTTACTTGGATAATTTAGGTTTTATCAGAGACTAGCTGCTGGGTGGAATACATACTTAAATCAAAGTTAGATAAAGTGCCAAGCATGTGATAAAAAGTTAGATAACTTGTTGGATAATATGAAGCGAGTGATAAGAATAATAAGAAACAGTCTGTGCATAATTGTCTGTCAGTCAGTTATAAATGTTTTCACTGGAGCTAAGCAGTATTTAATCCCGATCTTCGATGTTGTTCGAGCAAAAAAGTCGGATTATAGCACTAAAAAAAGAGAACTTGAAATTGTGGCGTTCCGTAACACTAAAATACGATAGCGAAAATCTGAAAGATCATTGATTTCAAGACTGATATATGTTATGTCGTACAGGTTAACTGTTATATCAGATGAACTGGACAAAATGCAAGTATCAACTTACGGACATAATTTCAATCACATCTGATTCATTCGTAACTAGTGTATGCTGTTGAGATTCCTTTGATTGTGAGATTTTGTTTTTGGACTGTAAAGTGAAATTCTTTGTTTTTTCTGATGAGTAACTTGGTTTGTTAACATTTAGGTGACGTAACTGAGCCTTTGTTCGGGGCCGGTACATGTTACTTATCGGTACAGAATCGTTTTTAGCAAGTATTGCAGATGGGTTTAGGGTAAAGTGGCTAGCATCTATTTCCATGTAACCATGATCAGAAAGGCTATGAGATGAACTCTGATTATGATCCGAGGGATTAGTTTGTTTGCCTGATGTGAACAAGTTTGATGGTGAACACAACTTCGACATTGCCAAAGCCAACTGAACAGGGTATCTTAGTAGCGTACATTTCTTATGAATATACTCTTGCAAAACAGGATCATCATTATACAGCTCGCTAAGACCATCAGTTGACAGAATTCGAGTAACTGAAGGAAAATGATGAGTACTGTGATGCGTTTCTTGAATAATGGTCATACTTCTAGACGAAGCATTTATTGCATGGAAATCAGAAACTTGTGAATCAGAGGTATGGTTTACAGAACTATCACTAAAACAGCTATTTTGAGTTGAGGAAGTGCTTAGAGTAGCTGACGATTTATACTTAGGATTCGTAAAATCAGCACTAGCACCAATTACATTTGATATACATACTGTCTGTGAAGGGCCTGGAGAAGGATATGGTGGGGTCTGAATATCATTCTTGACAGATGAGATGGCTTTGTAAATACTTGTTCCATGATTTGAAAAGTTATCAACATGAATACCATCATGAATCGGTATAGAACTAACGGTTTCATTGCTGCTGTTGTCAGTTTGATCATCAGATTGTACATTAGATGTCAACAAATCGTTCGCCTCAGGCTTGATTAGTAATGGAATACCACGGTTGTTATTATTATATGAAGCATTTTCAGTACATAAAATAGTATCATCTACAACCAATAACGATATATATTATATGAAAGCTTCACACAGTAGTAAATGATTTAATATTAAATAAATAAACAAAATTGTAAAGAAATATGTGGAAATCGATGTTTAGTGTTGTAAAAAAAAACTGAAAACTAAGTAACATGGTTCTTTTAAGCCTGAGTTGGCCAGTCGCATCAAGTAACCAGCTGTGAAATAATTGGGATATGAACAGTGTGATTGAATTGACAGCTAAAACCTTTTCTTGTAGTGAAGTGTTTTCACTCTGGTCTCGGGCTCACCATACGAATATGAGGTTCATAGAAAAAAAATTATCGAATTTAACAATGAGCTATCTAAACATTTCAAAAATCAGTGGGTAGAGACTAGTATAATTTTGCGCTAGCCCAAGTTACAATGTTGTAAGAAACTATGAAATGACCAGTAAAGAATGAGGAATAATGGTAGCATCAGTAATAGTAATGATGGAACAATGAGAATCTGAATTAAAAAGAAATAGAGCGAAGTCCATAAAAGGATACTGAAATTGAAGATTTGAAGAGAGATAAATAAGTGGATCTACCTGAGCCCCTGAAAACGATTCTAATACGTTACCCAAAGCCCCTGACCTAATCACTGACGCTGATTATCGTATGGACCTCCAGAATTGCAATAAAAGCATACTTAGATGCAAGTTGATCACATTCAACGTAGAACACAAACCCTAGTTTCCAAATTTCGCATTAGCACAAAGTGAGGAACTTAACAGAAGGATGAAGTTGATAAAGTCAACAATCGTTGTAAGAAATGAACTGAAATCAGGGGTGAGATCCTTACTCCTTTATCAGAGTCAAATGACTGTCTATGCCTAATACATATCTCACCCAATCTAATATTTTTGTTAGCCGAAGCAATCGTTACTCAGGAGGCCTTAGTAGCATTAATGCTTCAAAGACACGTCATATACGTTTACATAGTAAGGTAATACAGAGCGTATTTATGGTTAGTTATACCAGCTTTATGATAGACCGATGGACAACTCATTCGAGACACTGGAGGGAAAAACTGCGAAGTGTTCAACACTTGCATGTTTGCCGAAATCTTGATAGTGCGATTATACGATTATCATACATTGGCGATCCATTTTCGATAACATTTAGTAACAATGTTAAAACCATAGATTGAAGTGTAACAGTATTTTTTGCTCAGAAAGTTAAGAGGCTAGTTAGTTATGCTTGTAGTAAGGTTTTGGATGCACTACATGATATTAGAAATTCTCGGAAACTAGTTAGCCACAACTCGTGTATAGATAAGAGAGTACAAAAAATTATGAAATTTTATCTGGTATTTAGTAAGGAACTCATGTCAACATATAAGTAAATAAGGTTTCAACTAAATTAGTCAGTTTGAATAAGATCGAATACTCCAGGTACGACTAATCCCGAACAAAAGGTGGGATAATATCAATAAACGTTACTATTTGTGTTGATCTCCTGACAAAATTTCCTTACGGACAAACAACAGATGACTGAGAAAAAGTAGAGATGGTTAGCGATGTTCTGTTTTCCATCTTGACCTAAGGTTGTCGATATTTTCCCGTGGAACGCAGATTCAGGATCAAGTACATTGAAATACTAGTCACCAAAACGGTACTTTCGAATTGGACAGTTTAGTTAGACGAGATGGGTAAGATTATCATCTTGTTTTGGGTATTTTCATAAAAGAAGCGTTCACAGAAACTTGAGAGGTATATGGGGAAAATATTCGTACAGACAAAAAAGCAGTTGGAGACCTAGCAAATTTTTGATGTACTCACATGAAACAGAAACTAAACTGCCTAAACGCGAAGTCTAACAAATATTTGTCCATTTATTGGTGGAGGTTATCAAACGATCGTCTAAACATGATATTTATTTCCTGGAACTTCAATAAAAATAGTAAGTGCATCAGTAGTTTTTTCTCAAGATAAACTTGACAGGTTGCTTTGACGTTTCTTACGTAAAATGTTCTACCAACGTTGATTACAAGCAAGCGCTAATTTCTTGATGATATGTTAATCATCAAGTCAGGACTTAGGGTAACTTTGACACATCTTGCAAAGGTGATATCCGAAGACCACGTCCGCGAACCGAGAGAAATTATTGCTTTTATGAATAGATTACATGACAATAACCATATTAAGTAGGAAATTTGCTGATAAATGTAATAAGATTACCGGTGGGTAAGGATTTACTGAGCAACTAAGTTTATGGAGATGAACACACGTTTGAAACCTTCGAATCGTTTTATCAAACATGCTGATTTGTGTAACCACTCTTCAGCATCTAACGCAGGGAGTCAACATCACGTTAGTTAATAAATGAATGCATCTGCCCTACTTTATTACTCATAAGCCTAACAAATTCAAGTTTAATGACATCAATACAACAAAAATGGTAAATAAAACGAAGTGACTTCATACAGCAATGTGTGAACATAGCTAATTCTCAACCAGCCTCAGTGAAGACAGCTTGGGGTAAACTTAGTTGTATAGGAAACTTCAACCTGTAACACAGTTCTACGCTTAGCCGAGCATTCAAACCTGTACATGAACATATGTTGTTAGAACTGTTTGCTCGAAGCTTATATCACGTTACACTTGGTAAATCAGAAGAATTAGGTGTGAGAAGCAACTAGAAACGAAGGAATCTAACTAAACTCACCATGAAACGTATCTTCTGATATGCCAAAACTCAAGATTTCTATGAACATATCAGGTAATTCAAGAACAGCAACTTTTTTTAAATCTGAAATGGTCGTACTGCTTGTTGTACGAAAAGTGTTGTACATATTTCTAGACAGAATGGAGTTATTGATGTCTCGTAAAAGCTTTTACTGGAACAGCTGATTCGAAGCATGTTGACACAAAAATTGCAAGTACTGTTAGTGTTGTTACAACGCATCAGCTTAGTTTCTTAATATCTGTGAAATTAAGGCAAACATAATAACGCTACGCACTAATTGAAGTGTGAACAACCAAAGTGTTGCGGTTGTGATACGAAACAGAAATAAACAAAACGTGCGCCACTTAAAGGATGTGACTAGCATAACCGCATTCTACTAAACGACGAACACAGTGATGATACTTAGAAGTAATTGATAATGGTGAGTTAGCCAGCATTTCAGGAAATTAATAATAAGTGAAAAGCGATCATGTGATCAAATATTCTAACAAACCTTTCTCGGATTTTACTAATATCCGCAGTGTATCGAAAAGATTGCGTGGGCGACCGAGTTCGGACGATGACATTTTCAAATTGAATTTGAGTCAATAATGTGCCAACCCTAAATAATTTATGTTAGCTATCTCATGTAAAAATTATGAGTAAATAATATTATTGTTCTGGAAAGATTTCCTTAATCCTTGTTTAGTCTAGCTATACAATATGACTTGTTTGGCGGGTTTGACGAGCTATGCGTTGTTTGACTCAGATCGCGGAGTGTGTCTGTGGTATTCACACCGTCATCTAGATGATAGAGAGTTTTACTGTACTTTACAACCTATACTTGAGAAGTTGAATACTCATGAATCAGTTAGATCCCAGTATTTTTGAAGCTCATTACCAGAGGCATATTAGTTACCCACTAAGGTTACATTTATTATCCAGTCCTTCAGGTAGCGCTTGATCCGTACGCAACAGGGGGTTACATATTGGACACTCTCATTTAAGACACTGCATTTAACGAATCAAAGCCATCCAAATGTTCCTGATTATCAGCTAGATACCCTCAAATCTATCTCTAACTGATTTTTTATTTGTATCTGGGATTTAGCTTTTTCAATAATTGACCTATATATGCTTGGTGCGTCATGTTTCGTAAGGCATATGCATAAATTTTTTATTGAGAGACTAGAACTATGGCATCATACGATAAGCTTCACATTTAACAACATGCTATCCCCAATGAGAATTACATCGCCTAAATTTATTCTTGTAGCAAATAGCCTCACATAGAAACACTTCTGATAATTTTAAATGCCGATTGTTATTGCTGCATCATGTTTCTGCTTAAGCCTACATTCTTCTTATCATCGGTAAAGAGAAGACAGCACTGCGGTTCATCCCAAGCATGATAGTTTATCAGTTTATTTGTTTTTTTTATAGATTCCAATATTTACTATGATGAGGGATTCTTCAAAGTTAAATAAATTTGAAAAAGTTTCAGCAATTTATACTAAAACAAATTAATGGACATTATGTTCGTTCACAACTATCATGGCAAAATTTCATGTGTGCTAGTTCCTCTATTGTGGCCCAAAACGTAAGATCCCTTGTTAGATTTCTAGGGTTCGTGTACCCTTATCAGGTTAGATTTTATGGAGTTAGCAATGCTGTATAAATAATGTCACCTTGTACAATATACTGGGTCCAGTGTCAGTGATTAAACCCGCATAAATTACTGATGTCTTAGACATTTTTCTAGATTTTCTATTCCACAAATATTTTATGAAATTCAAGAAACATTTAGCGCTTATTTACGTAATTTTGTTGCAAAAAAAGGCATGCACACACACATGACCGGATATGGTTTATGCCATCAAATATATTTACGATTTGTTATATCAAGCTAGGTTGTACCAAGTTACATGGTGCTAATCGCAACTGAGGGCAACGTGTTAATAATTTTTCATCTTGAGACTTAATGAACACACTTCCATTGACTTAGCTGATTGTAGGTTCTTTATATTTGTCTGTACATGTCAATGACTAGTAGATAACAAGACTACAATCCTGTAGCTCCATTATCAATGGTGAATTTCGAGCGTTTGGATTCGTTTTGGTAATGTCTTATGTGTAAAAATGCCTATTTTCCATTGAATCTAACTGGAAATACTCGGAAAAGGAAGACCAGATCGGATAGACTTTTCTACACACAGAAAATCGATTTTATTTAGACGTTCTATCCGAGGGCAGAGTTTTCCTTTGAAACAATAAGTGGGAGCTCGACGCTAAATTATATTCATAGTACCTTCGATGGAGTGGAGCAGCATCAAAGTTGCCATGATGTTTAAGTCAACTCGTGGAATGTTTGTGATAGTTTTCGAATCAATACAGCGCAGTGGATGAAATAATTGACACGGGATCCACCTAGAGATGACTATTAGTATATTTAACCCACCACACTTGAATATTTTATTCTCATATGTACGCCAAATGAATCATTAACACGGAGAAAATAGTCCGAAATGGGAAATAACAGTGTTATTACCAAAACTTTCAGTTTCATTTTACATCATATTCTAAAATAACTTTATGTAGCATATTGTTCTTCTTGTAAACGCAGCTCAGTGTCACCACAAAAGTAGTGTTTACGTTGCCTTTTTTTGTGTATTCTTAGTGAACTAGTTCTTACCCTCTTACATTCAATAATCAGTAAAATTGACTTTTATATCTGCTACACTTCGAAGATGACTTATTATTTGCCCTACTAACGTATTACAACATTTTTGTATATCGTGCATTTAAAGGATTCTTTAAAGGGATTTCCTCACCCTGCCCTCTGTGTTTTGTCAGCAGCATAACTGTCGGGAACTCAGTTCAATCAAATGTACGTAACTAGTATTTTCCTCACTATAGACAACAAAATAACCAACTGATTGGCTTCAAAACTTCATCTCGAGTATATGTGCATAACATGGTCTTATTAAAATGTAAAGTATTTTGTTACTGAAAAACAATCATCACCTTATCTGCAGAATGACTGTATTTTTAAATCAACATCCAATTTAGTGGTGTCTCAGTCCAGAATTATACTTCTTGAATAATATCTTCGAACCCTAATTTTCTCCATTACTGCTAATACTTCTACTACCATTATTGGATTTGAAGTAACAGTTGCGTCTTTGTGCTGATGAGATATGGCAACCTGAACTGATGTACTTACGTACGAATTTCTGTGTTGGATTGTCTGTCAGTCCTGCAACCTTACTCTGAAATCTGTATTTTGTATAACAAAACTGATTACCATAATCCCAAATTCAAAACCTAATTTTGATAAGGAGGACTACATTAGAACCAATTTATTTGATAAAATGCTGCTATTTTGAATAATCGGTCAAACAGCTGATCTCTGAAAATATTCATAAAACTATATTCATCGAGAGAAACATCTACGTAAATTAGTTTTTTCATGATCTAAAACTATGCTTAATCTTAGTGTATACCGTTCGAAACTACCATTTAGATAATGAACAATTCATAAACCAGTTAATAAATTTCGTTCTTAATTACATCGATAAAATTACATAAAATTGAATTAAACAGTTGCGAGCTCTGTCTTACCTATAAAGCTTCTGGCAACCTACACTAATTGTGACAATACCTGATTTAGTCTAGAGAAAGTGCAGAAAATAATTATAACTAAGCTTAAGTCAAGGTTTTCGTTTTTTTCGTCTGATAGGTTCTGACTGCAAAGTTATCCATAAAAACTTCCTACTAGTAATTGACTAAAGCACCTTTGCAATTACGTTATCTATGTTAGGATGATGTCGAAGTCATAAGACGAAATGTTATTAGACAAGATTTACTTTGAATAATCTGGTTCTTCAGCCAAACTATCATACAGACAGTACGAACGATGAATGAAAGAGATTGCTCTTATAACTAGACAGTTTAAAACAATGGGGAAATAGTGAAATGATTGGTCTGTCAGTAAACTAGAACAGCGTTCGTACAATATATCATCGACCTCAACTATATCTTGATTGAACTAGTGTTGAATACTTCTCTGTGACTTAACGCGACGACAATTAATACGATGCTAAAAGCCATTCGATAAGTAATTTGAAATGACTGGTACATGAATCAAGGATCTATGACAGGTCATATATACCTAGGATGTGGACCAATCAGTATAATTCCGGATACTCTGCGTACCCTTCACATGATTGCGTGCAGACAGTTCAGGATCCCTATTGTGAAAATAAAGAAACAGCAGGAAATAATACTTTCAGTGAGACCGATATTAGGCTTAACCTACAAATATATGAGTATTTATATGAAAATATTCAACTCGTCAAGGCAATCTTAGAGTTAGTGATCACAACGAAATAACTGGCACGCCTACACAAATTGGATGGGCATTGGGAAGAAAGGGTTGGTGATATTGGATGTTTTTGGAGGGCTACAAAGGTACTGTCCATATCCCTCTTGAGACCTACCTTGTTGACACTAGTCACGTGCTGGGTAGGATTATATCATTTCATGTGATACATCTTACGTCTACGTTTTCAGGATCCACAATATAGAGCAAGTTATGCGGCGACCGGACCGATAATCGTAGTTACTAAGTTCGTTATTAGATCATGACATTAATACCGCTCTAGACGGGCAATAACTTATTGGGTTAACCTAATAGTTTTTTTGGTGCTCTATTCGTTCCATACACTCCGTCTAAATACTCACTCCTTGATTACTAGGGCACTCATTACTAATCTTAGTGTTCCGCAATTATTATTGCAGCCGATCTGTGCAAATCCGACCTACTTCCTGTGTTGAACTATTGACATGGACCTTTGTCCCTATTGTAATCACTACTAGTTCGCCCATTTCTCTACTATCAATTTATAGTTTTTACCGACTGTGGTCATGCATTCATTGTGGTCACTGGCTCGGAAGCCACCTTGATTGGTTTAATATTTTCACATAAATAATGGTGTATTCTAAAGTGAAAGCTAACGACGATTAATTTAGAACACCAATGTTCTCTCACGTGTTTGTACAATGCCATTCCAGTTCTTGCTTGATGTCCATGGAGTATTCGATAAATTGTAGCTGTATAAAGTGATACCAGGTTGTATGTGCCAAAATATTCCAAACTGTAACCACTTTAATGATAAAGTTAAATAAAAAAGGGTAGTTTCTAACTAATGATAATCCCAGGTTCAAATAACACGTAAAATCCCAGTACGAACATGAACGTCTTGACTTAAAGCAATCTTAAGAGGAAACTACAAGCAGGAGCTGTACGTTATTTCATTCTTGGGGAACACTTGTGCACTAAAATTTATGAGCTTCCCATAAGACTATTGACGAATGCAGATCTCCATAGAAGCCAAGGTAATGTGCTAGAATAACCGTGCGAGTTATGAACCGGTTACGAAGGTACATCAAGGACTTGGGGGTCCTATGTTGCTCACAATACGACGAAGTGATATTCACTTGAGGAATTCCTAAGGGGATCACTAGTCCAAGCTTGATAAATTGAGCCATACTGACATGTGGCATAGGCGGGAATTTTTCAGTCCCA